ATTAATGAATAAGTCAATGTTAACTTATCTCTTTAAAGCTTTGTATTTAACAGTTCATTTAACAATGAAAGCTGTATATAATAAAGTGCTCAGTATCTAATGCACTCTAACTTAAAGAACTTGTTTATCTGCTGCTTTTATAGCTAAACACATAAATAATAAAATAAGCCAGATTGCTTTATAGTTGTTAAACTGGAGCTGTTAAACTCTACAGTTCTTCTCCAGAGAAGAGGAATATTTTCAGCATTTTATGTAGTGGAAGGACTTTACCCAGAAAAAGAAGCTAGCTACCCAACTTGGATGTTCATGGGGTTGCATCCGTTTTGAAGTCACATTTGCCTTCAGCCCATCTCCGTTGCAGAGAAATGAAACACGATGTGCTGATAATGAATCAATAATATGTTGATAATGTGCACGGGGATTAATCAAGAGCACTCATTCTCTTTCAGGACAATTTCAAGCTGCCAGTAATCAGCAGAGACATGCAAGCTGGAGAGCAAGCCAAGCACACACTTGACAGGGGCAATCAAGCTGTACATTCTGATCTCTGCAGTGAAATTCAGAGAGGGCCTTCCAGTCCCCCAAGGCTGGAAATGCACCCAACCTTAGGTTAAATACCAATCCCCTCATTCTCTCTTTGGGTCAACTAGTACACATTCAAATTACTTAACCTTGAGTTGCTTCTTTTGTAATAGAGACACTAACTTACCTTTTCCTTTATACTTGAGAGGAGTATCTAATTGAAATAAAGATTTTCCCCTCCATTTGGACATAAATGCTTAATTCTTGCAGCTGACCATTTTATCACTTCTTGCTTCCTCATTATATATAGAGTAAATATCAACTTCATAGAGTAGAGTAAACCATTACAGCTCTGATTAAAGTGACCCTAACAATCTGGTGTTGATTGCCTCCTTCGGGGAGAATTCATTGATAAATAATAATATGAGAACACAAAAGACGCTGTTTTAGCTGCTCTTCTGAAAAACAATACTTAGAAGTAAGACAATATAAAAACTGATAAAAAAAAGTTTGCTCCCATTTTTATTTTCCCACTTAAAATTATATGAAGACACAGCATTCATTCCATTACACATGAAAAATGTAAAACTAGGCAAGTTAAAGGGACTATCCCACTGTCACCAAGTTGGTTATTTCCAGAACGTTAATTAGGTTCAACTACCTATGTTCACAGAACCTATCTGCATCTCCCTGGACTTTACTGACTACTACCCTCCAGACCTAATTCCCTACCTGGACAGACGGTGCTCTCACTCAATACTACGTGTTCCTTTGGCATGAAACTGGATTGTGCAAACCTCTGATCCCAGCCAGAAAAGTCTTCCAGTCTTAGTCACTCCTGTTCTACAGTCTAGCAACTAACATCCCTGTTGAATATTTACCAGAAGTGTGCAGGGCATCTTTCATATTATCTTGTAGGTCCATGTTTTCACCCATCTCCGCCCTACCCTGTGCCACGAGGAGGCTAAGGAATAGGGATTGCACCAACGCCCAACTTTATCTTCTGGATTCTGGTTAGAGTTAGCCAACTGGGAGTATCCACAGGGATGGGGAAAGGAGAGTAAAGTCATGATATTCATTCTTGCCGTTCTCTCTCTGAGGGTCAACTCCCTCAGTCCAAGGTCACAGCACCTCCTGGGTGCACTCTGTGTAGGTAACACCCACTGTTACAAGCTACACTATCAGGTGTAGTTTCTTGACATCATTCTCAAATCTTTGTAAGAGGTCCCTATATACCTAATTCTCCTCCAACTACCCACTTTCTCGTTTGAACTCAAACCAAAACACGAGAAAGGAAGAAAAAAAGGAGTAGCCTATAAAACATTGGACATATAATATAATGTTTGGTCTCCTCATCTTTACCTCATCTCTATTCCTACTTCATTTTCCCAAATCACATCTAATGGCAATGCAAACTCTAAGCATACAAACTTTATTGTCAAGGCACTGTGCTGTTCTTATTAAGATGTTGTTTAAAAAAATATCACTTAAGCAATAAATGCCTGTGTATTATTCCATATCTTACATTTGCAGAGCACATACAATGGTTTTACTTAGCTCTTTTGTGATAATCCTTATCTCCTAAAATATTAAAAGTGTAGAAATGCTCTTGAGAGAAACATTTATCAAATGTTACTGCCTAATTGAACATATTCTTATTGAAGATGCTGATATTCTTACTATATGTGTGCAATAATTTGCTAATTAGTTAAAGAACTGATCAATAGCATAGAGTTAGATCAGACTACTGTGAAGGGACATTATCTCCTTCACAACTTTGAAAGTTATATTTCAAAAACCTTTACATAAAAATGAGCTCATGATTGAAGGGTTAAAGTACAATTTTCAAATAAATTCAAAACATGACTCTCATATAAATATAAAATGAACACATATCAAAGATTTAATTAATTAATCAATTAACGAAGGAACCAGTAAGATGGAAAGACCAGTTCAAAGGAGATTTTGAGAAACAGAAACACATAAAGACAAAGAGAGGCTCTCCTTGATCTAATTCTCATCAAGCTCCTCTAAGACCTCCAAGTCTTGACCTTGGGCTTTAGTGTTCTTCCTTGTTGGGCCTGCATCACTCATCTGCAGCAAGAATTTTGCTAAGTCAGTTTAGAAGGAACTGCCACCCTCAATGTTTGATCACCCACACTATCTGATCAAATCCCTTATCTCCCTATCCCCCATAATATCTGATTTCCCTAGCCTGTCCTTAGCAGAAACCCTCCCTCCCCCGCTAGTTTTGATACCTCCTCAGTAATTTTCTATCCACTGATGCCCCCACCCTGCTCTTTGGGTGTAAATCCCCTCTTTTCCTTGTACTTAGAATTGAGCCCAATCTCTGTCTCCCCTACAGCAAAATGCCATTGCACTAGTCCTCTGAATAAAATCTTCCTTACTGTTCTTTAACAAGGGTCAGAATGATTTTTTAAAATAATAGTCAGTCAAAGGAATGCTGGAATGGATTTGCTAAGATACAAAACTGTGTAATATCCTATAGAAAAATAAAACTATAACATTTGGCATCATCTTTTCTCCTAGCTAGAAACACACAAGTTGACATGTAAATGGAAAATAGTAAAAAATGATTTGTAAATAGTTAAGTCAATACAGGTGTATTCTCCTTTAAAATTAAATTAATTCTCAGACAGGTCTGTTAAACAATGACATTGACAAGTCATTCAGTCATCCTCTGCTTTATTTACAAGTTTTGGATGAATTTTCTTAACAAAAGATATTAACACTTTATGGAACATGAAGTTGAGCTGGATGAGGTTATTAGCAAGCCTATATGCCACCCTCCAAAGTTTTCACTTATTGAAATCAAAATGAAGGCAAAATCCTACAGAAGCTTATCATAGTAAAATCTCCATTGATATTTTATTAAAAATAAAGAAATGACTTTCTGTGGGGCGCCTGGGTGGCTCAGTTGGTTAAGCGACTGCCTTCGGCTCAGGTCACGATCCTGGAGTCCCAGGATCGAGTCCCGCATCGGGCTCCCTGCTCG